ATGTTTATGTTTCCACTCTATGCACCAAAAATGCAGAGTAATGAATTTCTGCAGCATTAATCTTTTGTCTAATTCTCAACAGTAGGTGGCTAGTGATCATTTGGTGTGAGTATGTACAAGCTTAAATCAGGAACTTCTGCTTGACAGAGAAATCAACAACCTCTATTCTGATATAATTTGTAATAATGAAACAATACACAGTGGAAAAAGTTGAAAAAATGGAAATCATGAACAAAGGGAGGTGCAATAGGGCATGGAAATGATGTCACCAGCTGCAATCTATCAGTAATTGTAAAAAAATCCTGATACTAGTGCAAATTCATCTCAGCTAGTTCAGTCCTAATTGGTGGTCTATAAAGAGTTGTCTCATTACCAAGGTGTCACACAAGAAACATCGTATGATGGGTAAAACGCTCTCTCAAGACCTTTGCAGCCTTGTTGTTGCAACACATACTGATGGAACTGGCTACAGAAGAATTTCTGTTGCCTACATCATCTTTCTGTGTGGAGTTTGCGTGTTCTCCCCAGGGACTCTGGCTTCCTCTCACAGTCAAAAGACATGCAGTCAGTGGGGTCAGGTTAATTGATGATTCTAAATTTCACATAGCTGTGAATGGTTGTCTGCCTCTGTGTTAGCCCAGTGACAGGTTGGTGAACAGGGTGTACCCTGCCTTTTGCTCTTTGTTAGCTTGGATAAGCTCGAGGCCACCCACAACACTGATAAGGGGACAGGATGCCAGTCCACAGAGACTGTGGCATGCTGCAAGGGACAGGTTGCAGATGTCCAGAAAAAACCCTGCCAGTTGGTCAGTGCATGTCTTCAGAATCCTGCCTGACACCTTATCTGGTCCTGCAGCTTTGATATCAATTCTCCTAAGTGGAACTCGCTTGGTGTAGCTGCAGAATGAGAAGCTACCCCTGCTCCTCCAGTCGGGGGCAATGTACAGTCTCACTGTTGCTGTCAGGGCATGCAAAGAAACTGTTCAAGGTGTTGGGAAAAGTTGGATCATGGCTGACCTGTTGCTGTGTTTGCAGTGTGCTGTGCTCCCGATGCATCTCCACATATTTTGTGGGTAGTTATTGTGGAAGTTCTCCTCAATGCACTGTTTGTACTTTGCCTGCTGGATTCCTTTTCTGAATCCTGTTCGGGATCTGTGTGAATGTGGAGGAAAGACCATGGGAAGGCAGCATTTGTTTTTTGGAGCTTTCTGAGCTCTTATTTAAATTTACTGTAAATAAATTCATTGGATCATTGGAAGGCTGCATTTGTGTCCAGCTTTTAGGTCACCCCGACATAAATGGCTGTATGAGTTTAACTTGGAGTAATGTGTGTTCCTGAGAGCACCTCATATAAATTCAGCTGGCCTAGATTTAGGCAGTAGAACATTTAAAATGGTTCATTATCAGATCAGTATCATCAATAGCTGCTTGAATTGTACTTTTTATCAGAAAGGAAAGCAGTGGTATTGCACATGACTATAGAAAGCACACAAACTGTTTGTGTGCAGTTTGTCACACAGCGTGTTGCTAGCTAAAGGTCCAGCTGCTATATTTCATAAGAAGAGAAAAGAATGAGAGCTAAACTCACCCAGAGATGGAGAAAGATAAAGCCAGGAGAGGAAAAAGGGGGGCTATATTTAAAGGTAGGAACCCTGTCCCTTGCTCTCACTTGCTCCCTTTCTCCCATCCGTGTCCCTCGTTCCCTTATCTCCCAGGTCCTAGTCATGTCTTCTGTTTCTTTTTTTTGTTTTTTTTTGTTTTGTTTTTTTGCCTGTCCCATTTGGTTCTTTAGCCGTCAGAATTGTTGTCTGAAGGCCAACAAGGATACCCAATGGATATGTCTTCTGTTTCGATGTCTGTTTCTCCCCCCGGACCCAGAGTCAACTGTGTCTTAGTCTGCATGTTCTCTGTTTTATTTTGACAGTCTTGCAGCCAGTGTTCAGTTTTGCTTACCCCTATGCCATTATATTCATTCTGCCCAGCTGTTTTCCCCGTGTGTTTCCACTTCCTTCGTCACCCCATGTGGATTTCTTGTGAGAGTTTTCCTTTGTTTATTGTCAGGTTGTATGTTTGTCTTGTGTCATGTTCTATGTTCCCCATGTCCAAGGTTTACTTTTAGTTTTTCCAATGTAGTTTACTGCTAGCTCCACTTTTGTTTCCTTCTGCCTGTGTTTTTCCATCAGTCATAACAAAGGCTCGCGTTTTTTTTTAGTTCAGGCCCGCCTTCGTTTGTCTGCATTTTGGTCTACACACAACAAATTCAGTCATATTTCAAGAGGACTGATCAAGAGGGGAGCTGCCGCAACATGTGTGGCTGGTAATACACAGTGCTGCTCTCACATTATCCACAAAGAAATTGAAAGTTTTCTCATGCCTTAAATGAAGGTTCAATCCAGGCAGGCTGTTGAACACCAAGGACAGTGTCTATGGTATTAAACAATATGAGGCTTATTGCAGTTTGACCAAAGAATCTTTAAGAAATATTTCCTTTGGACATCTTTCACATCTGTCTGATGGCGATAACAGAATTCCTTAAAATTTGAAATGAAACATGGAGCTTTCTTCCACTTTTGTACACGCGCACCTAATTGCACTTGTTGTTTCATCCAGCCAAGGCTAGAATAGGTATTGGCTACCTGGGTTTTAATAAAAACATAGCATCTAACACTGTATGACCAGTGGAGTGAAACCAAGAGCGGAAATCATCTATCATGACACAGCCTCAATGCAAACAACACTGTTCCAAAGAAAGTTGAAAACCAAAGAACAACTTGCTGAACAGGAGCGTGAGGTTTAAGAATGTTCCCAGGTGAGAAAATGTCAAATGTCGTTACACGCATGTAGATCCGAACAGCGTCACAAATCTTCACATTAGAAACAGACACTTTAAAAATGTCAAGAGTGTTTCCCCGTTTCTGTGTGAGCCCAGACACGCACTGCACAAAATTAAGAGTCAATAAGGCTTTTAAAGTCCTTAGCGGATGGTTTTTCAGGACAGCACACATGTATTGCAATCACCAACACACCATATTTAGGCGTGATTTCAGCCAAAAGTTCAGTAAATGATGTGAGTGAAGTTGCCCCCCCACCTTCTTCAAATCCAACAAAAGTGATATCAAACGTTTGTGCTATGTTTGTGCTGGTTTGTGCTGCAAAAATTTTGTTTGTGCTGCTATCATTTTAAAGATATTCAAGAAAATTTCTAGAGGTCATCAGAGGTCAACCAGCCCCCCCACATTAAGCACTTTTTGTGAAAGAGAATAGAAAGCTCTCAAAAGCTCAGACAGCTCGCCCTAGTTAAG